CGTGTGTGTTTGTAGTATTAAACTGTATATGAATATATAGTCTGGTTTCTATATATGAGTTTCTATTCCGCAACAACTGATACATGTGAGCACACACATATAAGTTTGTTAAAACAGAATGAACATATATTAGACGTATATTAGCAGGCATGTTCTCTTAGACATCGGCACATTTGTATATATTAACCTGGGTTTCATGATAAAGTATACACTTATTCATACGTGCGTCAGAAAATTGAATTGTATCATATTCAACGATTTCATTGTGCCGTCTGATATTATTGTATTACAAGTACTCTCCTTTGTTTAGTATGTACACACGCACATCTTTCCACAACAGAAAGGATATGATTTGAATCTACAGTGGTGTCTTCCCGAATATATTATTGATTGACTTAAGATATTCTGCTGAGGAATTGTGTCGTATACAACAAATGGTTTTCGTATCTAGACATGTACACATTCTGACTCATGAATAAACGTACAAACGGATTTTCTTCAAGTAACGACAAAATCTTATGGACTACCCGCCGAACATGTTAACGTACTTGCCGTTCTTATCGACAACGCCTCGGAGATCGATATTGCAGTGGCAAAATGTCTCGAAGCATATCCTACATGCGCCAAATGCCGAGAAACAATATTCGCATTGTAGCACCAACTCCCAAACCTCTTCCCCTAAGACTTATTACCAACTTCATTAATTTATACAAAGGCGATACCTCGGAGCGCAACAGTGCGGTACTAAAGTTGTCAGAATGGTTGACAGCAAATGGCAGCGATATCTCTATTGTACGCGTAGGTAAATCGACGTCCGGAGGACTAGGTGTATTCGCACGTGAGAACGTGGAGAAGGGTAAATCGCTGTTCAAGATCGCACAGAAGTGTGTCATGTCGAGTGAAAAGGTAAGTTTGATGCGCGTGTTAAAATCATATATCGATGGACACTACGCTCGCACTGCATTAGCTTAAAGCTTGACGAACGTTACTGTATAAACATCCGTGAGAAAGTAAGTGGCTATGTTGGTGCATGCATGTTGGGTTTCTTGGGCTAGAACTTAGTTCTACGCGCATCCGGTGTGTGCCACGTCATCTCGATTGTCATCTATATCTTACACTCGACAACAGTACGTATATATATATATTATATATCTATATATATATATATATGCACGCACACACCACACACACACACAC